CTTTGCTTCTTGTGTTTGGGAATGGTTTTGCTCTCTTTTATTAGTTTGGAAATACTCTTTTGCCCGTCTTTTCTAAGAGGTACAAAGAGAAAAGGTAGAATCTTATGGAAGTGTGCAAGGGCAGTGGTAGTGTAGACAGTTTGGAAGGAGAGAAATTTAAGAATCATGAGGATAGAGAAAGAAATAAGGAGACAATTATTGATACTGTTATAGTAAGAGTAGCACATTAGGTTAGAAACTATTTTCAAAATTTTCAGTGGAGGATTTTTTTTTTCAAAATTGGGGGTTGATAACCCTTCTTCTAGGAAACAAAAACTCCTTGAGGTTTGGTTTCTCCCAGTTGGTGGGTGCATGCAACTTAATTTGGATGGAAGCAGTTTGGGCAATTAATCCAGGACCCTTTGAGATCGGAGGAGTGATATGAGATGGGGGTGGGAACATTTGTGGTTTGTTTTTGGGGCCAATTAAACAGGGCGATTCAGTGAGAGTAGAAATTCAAAATCACAAGGTCCATTGTAGAAGGAGACTCAAAAATAATCATAGGTTGGTTTAAAAAAGAAGGTGTATTATGGCAATTTAGAAACGAGTTTAGGAAGTTCAAGTTGCTATCAAGACAAATATAGATTCATGTAAGATGAGTTAGAAGGTCCACTAATGGTTTGGCGGATGGGCTAATGTTAACAGGGTGGTGGGATCTTTTTGTTATAAAGGGTTTTATTTCTAACATTCTCTCTGTATTGATAAAATTCTGTGTTGCTGAAAAAAAAAAGGATCAACTTATTCATATGGGTATATAAAAATCATGGTTTTTAAAAATGAATTGGTGATCGAACCGGTCAGGGGTCCGGTTATTGGTTCAAACGGTTAACTGGCCGGTTCAACGGTTTACTGACCAAAATCAACGGTTTTGAGAAAAAAACTAGTTTTGAAGGAAAACGAAACCAGTCACCTGACCGGTTCCCGGTTTTTCTAGTCCGACTGTCCGGTCCGGTCTGGTTTTAAAAACAGTGATAAAAATTATGACAAAAGCTTCATTTAATGCATAAACATATTTTATTTCTTTCTTTCCTTTTTTTATGTAATAAGTACATGCTCTAAATACTAGATCAATGCCTTGCCCCCTCAGATGTAAGACTATAGCTTTTTAAGGGAGTTTACTTTCTTTTTAGCTTTCAAGACCCGTATGTGTTATGTGTTTTTGACAAACAAATTTTGTTGCATATGGACCTGTAATTATAAATGTTTATTTATTTTTGGTCCCATCCTTTCTTTTCTTTCCTTCTCGTTCACTTTTCTCCTCTCCCCAACCCCTCTCCCCCATTGTCCTTCCCCTTCCCTAATTTCTTTTTAAAAATCTCTTTCCTCAATCCTTATTTCCATTTCTGCTAACGTCCCTTGCATTTCTAATAAAAACTACAACGTAGTGAGGTACTTTATCTTACAGGATAGCTGGCATTACACCAAGGGACAAAAAAAAAAGAAGAAAATCTACAAACCCTCACGCCACTCTACACATTTTCACAGCTCTAGAAAAAAATCCACCATTCTGCAAGCTCTCCAACCGCAACAGGGACAAACAACCGCCATAGCCTGTCAATAGCTTCACAACAGGGCTGTCACAAGCTCACCTTAAATTGAAAAGGACTTACATGGCTTCTGAATTGAATGTACCTGCACTTCCTGTCCCATGTTACATGAAGCCAGCCACAGATTTCAGCTCATCTTTTCCTTGCTAACGGTAAGTCCAAATCTTACATTGCATTGCTGTGATTCCATGCATTTAAATTACATAATTCGCAATTATATATATATATATATATAGCTTATCGGTTCTATTTACGTGGCCCAATGTACACTTGTGTGGTTCTCTATGATCTTGTGATTGTTTATTGCTTATTGTCTTGTGCTTTTCTGTTATACAGTCTAAATTAATAGCAACTTATATTATCTTGCCATTTGTTGCTATGTTCTCAAATCTCACTAGCTTCCTTATTTTGCTTATAAAAAAATTCTATTACCTTAGTCAGCATTTCATTATATGTTCTGGATATGCCAGAATTTTGGTATTGGAAATACATTCTTCTTTAGTTTGATTTTGGCCTATTGATTTTGTCATTTTTTCATTTTCATCATTTTGGGTTGTTATACTCTTTTCTTTTTTTTTTAACCAATTTGTAGTGGTCTTTTGTTATTCAGATTTTGTACCTTTTTGCAGCTCCTTGTTTTTTAATCAAAAACTTTAACTTTGATTAATTATAGACTAGAAAAATGTGTACAAGTACAGTTCCATATGAAACAGATTATCTCCAATACCAAATTATTACCATTGAGCCCAAAGCATTTGATTTCTCCCAATTCCTTGTTTATGCCAAATAATCTCTTGGACATTAGAAAGCAAACATAGATATACTTGTAGTTGCAATCAATAGCATTGGAGATTTTCATGGGAGAATCATTTAATTGGTGATTAATATGGTTATTATCCTTAGTATTTTAACAATTTTTACTCAAGTTTTTAACTAATTTACTCATTACTCCATTTTATTGATCTCACAATTTCAAATTCAAACACCTTTCTATGTTGACCCTACAAGATGCAACCCTACCAATTCAAACAAATTCACTTAATTTGGAAAGTCTTACTATATATGATAACTTTGTGAACTTTTTAGTACTATATAACTAGTAACCATATAAATATTATCACAAATATCATAAATGAAACTGAATTAAGGGATATTTATTCATCATATTTTGAGCACTAAATCTGCTTTCATTCCCACAAGTCTTTTCTAAAATGAGTTGGAACAAACTAGAAAGCTCCAACTCCATTAGGCCCAGTAACAAGCCATTTTCAGCCCCCGTCCTTCTAGTTAATAAGAAAGATGGGGAATGGAGGATGTGTGTGGATTATAGGACCCTTACAGTGCGGGATAGATTATCAATGCCCCTAATTGATGAATTGTTCGGCGAAATGCATGGAGCTTCCATTTTTTCTAACTTGGACCTCCAATCTGGCTATCATCAAATCTGGATCAAGGCAGGAGATGAACCCAAAACAACATTCAGCACCCATGAGAATCATTATGAATTTTTGGTTATGCCGTTTGGACTGACAAATGCTCCATCTTCTTTTCAGATACTAATGAACGACGTCTTTAAGGAGCACTTGAACAAATTTGTGCTGGTGTTTTTTGACGATATGGTACTTGTGTACAACAGCCACCTGCAAGAGCATGTCAATCATTTGAGAATAGTTCCAAGGATATAAACCTTCATCAGTCGTTTGTGAAGAGAAGCAAGTGCAAGTTCACTACTAGGCAGATTGAGTACATCATCCATGTAATCTTAGCAACATGGGTGGCAGTTGATCAAGACAAGATTCAGTGTATCTTAAATTGGCCCAGGCCCAAAACTGTTAAGGGGTTAGGGTTTTTTTGGGCCTAACAGGATACTATCGGAAATTCTTTAAGGGTAATGGGGGAATAACACAACCTCCAACTTAGTTGCTAAAGAAGGGCTAGTGGCAATAGAATGAACTAGCAGAATCGGCATTCAATAAACTCAAGGAGGCCATGACTACAACTCCAGTTTTAGCTCTCCAGGACTTCTCACAGTTGTTTGAGGTGGAAACAGATTCTAGTGGTATAGGGGTTGGGGCAGAAGGCCCATTACTTTAGCAAGGCTCTTCAGGGTAAGAACCTATATATACACTTCCTTCTATGACAAGGAGTTACTTGCAGTTGTCTTGGCTGTACAGAAATGGTGCCCATATCTCTTAGGGAGTAAATCCTAGATCCAAACCGATCGCCGAAGCCTCGGGTCCTGTTACAACAGAAACTACACACTCCTACCCAACAGAGACTTATTGGGAAATTAATGGGCTATGATTTCAAAATATGCTGCAGGAGGGGAAGAGAAAGCATAGAGGCAGATTCTCTGTCTAGAAGGGATGACATGGAGTTGCTGGAAGTTACTTGACCCGTTCGAACATGGATAGAAGAGCTTAAACAAGAAGTAGCAGAAAACCCAGAGATGCAGTCATTGTTGCAAGTAGTCTACAATGGGCCTAATTCTGGGCCGAAAAATATGAATACAGGAACGGATTCTTACGGTGCAAGGGCTGCATAATGCTGAGCTCAGCTTCCAGATTTAGGCAGAGGTTATTTGAAGAAGCCCATTCAGCTCCTTCAGGGCCTCATGGGGGTCATTCTGGGTTCTACGATACCATGCACAGGTTAAGGAGAATATGCTACTGGAAGGGATATCGGAAGGAGGTGAAATCTCACCCGGTGAGGGAGTGTAAGGTGTGTCAACAAAACAAATAAGAAAATGTACCAACCCCGGGTCCGGAGTTATTGCAACCATTACCCATTTCTCGAGAGGGTGTGGGCCGATATTTCTATGGATTTTATAGAAGATTTGCTCCTTTCCCACCCAAAAAAAAAGAAAAGTCATTCTTATGGTAGTGGACAGGATAACTTAAGTATGGACATTTCCTGTCCTTAACCACCCTTACACAACTCAGGAGATGTTACTTTACAAGCCTCTTCTAGGAGTTGTTCAGCTAGAGCTAGTATATGGGTTATACCCCCAACACTATTGACCTACAATCCGAGAACCACCAAGGTGCAGTCAGTAGATGAAGAGTTGAAGGGCAGAGAGGACATGTTAGCAGAATTAAAAACCAACTTGCTGTTAAGAAGTGGGTGATTGGGTGTACCTCCGCCTCCAACCATATAGGCAAGGCAAGCAGCATAGCTGCTAAGAAGTCCCAAAAAACTTTCTGCTAGGTTTTTCTTTTTGGGTAAATTACAAAAATCTCCCTGTACTATGGGGTTTGTGATAAAGACCCCCTTATACTATGACCGTGACCGTGAAACAAAAACCCTCTTCGGTTGAAGTCCACTGTTTTACAATATTTTTTAATCTCTATATTATCCTAATAACTATTTGGACAATTGGGAGAAAATACTGTTCATCTTCTCATGATACACTAACAGCACCTCAGATAGATTCCTTCCCCTTCCTCTCTCCCCAGATCTCTCTTCTTCCCCTTCCCCTTTCTCTCCTCCCCTTTCTTCTTCCCACTTTCCTCTGTTTTCCGTTCCTCTCAGCTATAGCCGTCACAACTCCTTGCTGTGTCTAATTCGGTTGTTGAAATACCTCCCTTCCTGTGACAACACCTTCCAACCCTATTTCATCAAAACCCAATTTCAATTATATCACTAACAGCAGCAGAGGAAGCAGCAATCAAGACGATGGTGGCGACAGAAAAACCATCTTACCGACTATGTCTGAAATCATGGAATCCTCAAAGACCCAGAACCTTAACCTCCAGCTCCAAACACTGGGACCCTTATTCAGAATTACAGCCATCAACTTGGAAACCAAGAGAGAGCTTGGCAGGGCAAAAGGACTCATAAGACTCTGGTTGGGAGGGAAAATTCTTCACTTGGACTCCATTAGACTGGGCAGAGAGACACTCAGCATGGAGAGATCAACATACGGCATTGGTTTGCTTATTGGAGTTGTTGCGGTCCGGTTTGGCTACGATTGCGGTTGCAGAACAGAAGAACTTCTTGCCATCAATGACACAAATCTCTACCATTCCAGGTTCTTAGTTGTTGATAATACCTCAATTCCTTGTCTCTATCTTCACTTCTTCTCTTTGCCATTAGGATTTTTTTATTTAGATTATTTATTTGTTTTATTCTTAATATCATCTTGTTAGATTCTACAAACGAATTAGGTTCAAGGCTGTACACGAAGTAACTGGTTCCTCCATGGGAGACCTCGCCCACATGCTTGTCTGGGGAGGCAAGGGGGCTCGAATGGACGCAGATATTGAAGAGCTTTTGATAAAATGGGGAACCAGATTTAAAGCACGTAGTTAAGTTGTCCGCTACACCCTGTGTCCATATAGGTTAATCGACTTTATTGAATGCTCATAGCCTTGTGACTGCCTTCTCTTTCTTACCAATGATCAAGCAAGTTGTTCATTCTCCCTCCTCTGTGTTGTGTGCTGTAAAGACTAAAGGGTTTGGGGTTCAGTTTGTCATGTCTTCCGATCAAATCTTCTGGTCTTCGGAAGAACATTAATGAACTGATTTATTTCCCTCCAGACTCCACACTTCGAAAACAGAATTATTTCCTGATTCCATTGTCTGGGACCATTTCTTCTATGAAGCAGAATTCAACAAAAAGCGGACATTTAGCGTGAACTGGTTTATTTCCTTACTCAATTAACATTTGTACTTGTTAGTTTTTTGTTTTTATAGGCCTTTCATTCATATTAGGGAACGATGTGGAACAAAACTGATTTAACTGAGAAGAAGCCAGGTAACAATGAATCGGGATTTATCTATCATTTCATGGTTAGCTGAGCTTGGGACTCGACTCGAGTGTTTAAACTGGAAATAATTCTTGAATCAGATAAATATTCCAAGTCCTATTTGCTGACAAAGATATAATCCACCAGTCTGTTGGTAAGGAAACTTTGAGGCCTGGGAGCAGGCCTTGCAGTCTGTTTTCAACAGAGGAAAGCGGCACAAAGAACAGTATGACTAAATTCCAGACCGGCACAAAGAACACAAATATGCATTATTTGCGCGTGGAGTGCAAGAAACTGATGAAACACAAATAAGAAAGAGCATTAGAAATATAAAAGAGCTTGATTTCCGGGATTCGAGAGAACAAACCACATGTTTGTTGGCCTCGAACTTTTCTCTGAGGTCGGATGCCTGAAATTGAAAATTGTAGAAAGAGTTAAAAAATAATTTGTGGGAAATCTGAACAAAATCCAAACTGCGTAACGTAGATAAACAAATTCTGAAATTAAAAAATGAGAGGGATGGATTTCTTATGGTTGTGGGAGAACGTGATGAAGATCGTAGTGTAGGTAAAGAGATGGAGCAAAGGTGTGGTAATGAGGCATCATGGATGGCGAGAGGGGAAGAAATGCTCTTACATCTTGGTAGAAGAGATAGCGATGGCGGCCCAGTTGAGAGTGTCTTTGAGAGCCCTTTTGTAGAGGATCCTCACCCACTCCTTGAAGCACTCATGCCAGGAGGAACGGAAAATAGAGAAAAGCGGGAAGAAGAAAGGGGAGGAGAGAAAGGGGAAGGGGAAATACAGAGATCGGGGAAGAGAGAGAGAAATGTGAAGGAAACTGAGGTACGTGAGGTCGGAAAGATGAACAGCTCCCAATTGTCCGAATAGTTATTAGTATGGGGATTAAAAATTATTATAATAACGAATTTCAACGGAAAGAAGGAGTCTTTTTCTCACGTTTAGAGTGCTTCCTCGAATTGGACCAGTGGCTTATAAATTAGACTTGCATAAGGGAACACGAATTCATCGGGCTTATAAAAGTACTTCCGTAGAAGCATTTTATAAAAATACTTTTGTAAAAGTTCTTTCATAAAAGTGGTTTTCTAAAAGTGTTTCCATAAAAGTGTTTTTGTAAAAGTGCTTTCATAAAAGTACTTCCATAAAAGTTTTTTTGTAAAAGTGATTTCATAAAAATGCTTTCGTGTAAAAGTAATTTTATAAAAGTATTTTTGTAAAAGTGCTTTTATTAAAGTGATTTTGTAAAAATACTTTTATAAAACTACTTCTGTAAAACTGCTTTCATAAAAGTATTTTTGTAAAATATTTTTTTAAAAGTGTTTTCGTAAAAATATTTTTCATAAAATTACTTTTATAAAAATGCTTTTGTTTTCAATTTTGATTGATTTCAAATTGGACAAGGGTTTGGCCTCATGATTGGATTATCGAAAATTTGGTTTAAGTCTATTTCAAACCAATAACAATATGGACCAATTAATTTTGGATCCAAATTATTTTGGATTGGCCCAATTCAATAATTATAATGAACCGTCCAAATCCGATTTGATAAGGTTTGGATCGGATTGGATCCAAACCAAAACTGGTCAATTGACACCCCTACGGGTAAGTACATCTATCCTTGTTCTTTTGACATAAGGGTAAGTGAGCAAATTTCCTAAAGGTTCAGTTTGGAAGGAGTATAAGTACAAATATGTACAGTGCAAATACATACAAAATAACACAAAATATAGGGTTTTGCACTCTACATATTTGTATTTGTACTCCTTCCAAACTGAGCCAAAAGACCCCCCCTTTTTTTTTTTTTGGTTATGGCAGGACCATTTTAGTCCTACACAATTTGGCCAATTTCCTCCCCTCCATGGGTAACTTGGACAAAATCATTACTTTTATTATAATTTATATTTTTTATTAAATTTTGGAGAAAATTAAATCTTAAATTATTTATTTAATTTTTTACAATTATAACTCTATTTGAATTTTTATAATAATAATGTTCAATTTTTTAGTCCAAAACAGTCCAAAAGTGGTCAAATTGTCAAACCAGACACCTATACACTTTCATATTGGTGCATATCAGGTCGATACACACGACTCATGGGATATATACCCATTAGGGGCATAGCTAGTATCTATGACCATGGATGTTGATACAATACACCATATATTAATCCTTGGGGATAATGGTCCTTTCTGCTGTATGCAGCCATCTGGAAATCTTCAAACTAATGCTGCTATCGGGTCTAAATTGATACCTCCATTGTTGAAAATAAACTTTGATCGAACTTTTAGTACTAATTACTCTGGATTAGGGATGGTTGGACCATTTTTTGGTGGTTGAACAATATGTATCCACTCAAAATTCCATAAATGCACTGATAGGTCAAGATTCTAACCTGGAGCTCAATGATGATGCACCTATAGATCTATGCACATGAACACTTTTATGTATGGAACCTGAACTGATTACAGAACTCCAGTTCAGTTGAAAATATGATGACCTTTTTTCCTTTTGATGGTTTGAGACATCAACTGAATGGACAAAATGAATAACAATATCTGGAGATAGTAGCTCTATGAAATTAGTGCATCATTTGGAAAAGACAACATTCACCCTTCATGAACAAAAATAGCGAGAACTTTTGCAATACTAGGGGAGAAAGTTTATGCATCATATAGAGACCAAGGACGTTTCCCTTTGATAAATTACATTACAGGTGGCAAGGGGAAGACAAGAAACAGCCTTACTCCTCCAAGGTAGAAAGATCATCATGCCCACACCATGAAGTCATCCAACAACTGAATGGACTCTAATGGAACTATGCGGCCAATGAGTAAGATGCCGTGGAATAGATGGAGGGATACCAAAGAGAACCCATCCAAGCCAGTAGCTATACGAGAAGTGATTACTCAGAATGTGTTAACAAGAACAAGAAACCTGAATTCTCGTGAATTAATGGTGGTGGTTCAATGTCAGAGATGTTAAACTGTTGCATTGACTTTGTTGTGTCATCAACCGAAAAAGGGTATGCTGCACCATGAGTAACACAAAAGGGAGATTAGCAAATACCAGTAATCATATTTTCAAAACATCTATTGAAGGCAGGAGAACATGCTGAAATGGCTAATCTTGTACTTACCTTGAATCATCATCCAATAAAAAAGAGTTTCTGACAGCATTGTTGGAATCTTCAGTCATCAACACCCTCATGTTGGATATAACCAGTCAGAGACATCCCATTGGATAACTGACCATGGTTGCGCACTGTGAGCTCTTGCCACTGAGGACTTGAATATTTTCATACCTCATTATAATGAAGATGATGATCCAAACCTAGTTTGTATAATGGCATCCATAATAACTTTACATCTGAGGATACACTATGCATGCCATACTTGTAATCCCGGCACATCGTGCTAATCCTGTACAATTGCTGTATACTGAGCACCTCTTGTTGGCAAATAAAAGCTTGTTGAGATCCAAGAAAAAGCACAGGCCATGAGGAACAAATTTCTTTCAAATCCTCAAGAAAGGTCATTCACTGGACACATATCATGGCTTATTTCATCCGATATTTTGTTTGGATTTTGATGTATGACCTGAAACATGGCAAAGTAGCACATATCAAAAGAATTTTAATATCTTACCAACTTTGGGACCCAAAGGGTAATTTTTCCTTGTTTTAAATGTTTAATTTTATCTTTCCTCTGCAATATGAGGAATCATCTTTCTAATGTGACAAACCACTTGTGCCACTTTTCAGTATGCTAAGGTCTGTAATAAAAGTTGTGGTAGGCAACAAGCAATAGACAGAAAATACACTGTCTGATATGCTTCAGCTCATCCCAAGCTGGACCAACCACATCAGTTGCCTTATAGCATCAGTCTTCTAGCTCAGCTAAACCTGCCTTAACATATTGACCATTTCTAAAGGAGCAGCACTCTCACCTTAATAAAAGGCCAAGCAAAAAAGGATATCATTATAAGAGTCAATAATCATATTAAGTATAAAAGCACTAAACATGAAGGAAATGGGTATAGACATCATAGCTGTTGAATAACTGTACGTTGATGAAAGAAAATATGTATGAAAACCTTATGGACTAAAAATAATAAGGGAACCAGAAAATCACGAGGTATGTTAACCAATTTACTTAAAACAAAATGATGAGGCCCCAATTAAGAGTTCAATTAAATGACAAAAAATTCAGAGAAAAAGTAGCAGATTTGGCCAGTTAGGTAATCATGACAACTAGTAATTTGAGCATTTTGAACCATTTGAGAATGTAGGATCTCATAGACTACGCCATTTTTCAAAACATCCTTCCCAAGTGGCTTTACATTCAGAAAAGAAAAAGAAAAATGAAGAGAAGAATGGATATTCAAGAAACTTTACTAACATAATTTACTTTTGATGTATTCAAGAAATGTCCAAGGCTCTTCACAATTCCTCGCCAGTGAGTAATCAGAACTTGTTGAGTTGCTGCATTTGCAAGAGAACGGGATTATCCCTTAAAAAAGCTTGCTCTAGAGGTTTTTGGTGCCTGCATTGTCCAATCCATGAATTGAAAGAACATATTATGATAGCAAGGATAGCAGGAAAACCACTATTTTAAGTGTCAATTAACAGAGCTGGATACCTGGATGCTCAACCCAAGCAATAGAGAAATTTCTTTCTTTAGATTTTTTGGATCATGTATATTTTCTACATATGCTGTGAGTTGCTGTTTGAAAAGTAAAGGAGGATATTTAGCTTCAAATTGGTACAAGGTGTCCGCGCCACTAGCCAACCTGACATTGACAGAAGAAAGATTAACACCTTGTGGAGTCCCCAAAAACTCTTAAGAACAATTATTTACATTAGAAGATATAGGCATAAAACCATAAAAAAACCCTTTGATACAAAATGAAATTCCTGTTTACTTGAATCATCATTCAAAACAAGGTAGCTGATGATGATCGACGGTGTTGTGGAGCCATACCATCTGCACTGCTTGCTTTAAGTGTTCACTGGAGTAGTAGTAACAAAGTTGATGAGTTGGACAACCAGTAGACTAGCATATCATTGTTACCCTGGGTCTTTAATAGTTAATACATAGAGCAGGTTTAAGTTACGAAAAGGTATGTTTCATGTTCATAAAATAAAAAAGGAAAAAAGAACTATAAAAACCTATAAACAACCATAGAAGATTGGATGGTTCAAACCTCAATAGCATGTGCAATTGTCTGAATAATCTGGTCAAAAAAAAAAAAGCTAGTCCGATCAACTTCGAAAGAAGGCATTTGTATATGATACATGTGAAAATTGGCCTTCTCCAACTGAAGTCTTGGTGCTGAGCAATACACCTTCTGAGCAAGTCTTTGTTCTCCTGCCGTTTCTCATTGAGTGACTTTTGTGGTTGTAAAAGTTCCCATGGTGTTGATAATGAACTGTGAATATCCTATAATATTTCACAGATGAAAATGAAAATATGAGCAAAAGAAAATTTGGATGAATAATCTGAAAATATGATAATCCTGAAAAAATTTCAACTTACAAAAGCAGTCTTGTGATCAACCCCCACAATATGGCCACTATCAGTACTACTCTGTCAATCAATAGAGAATAAAAATATCACCTAAAATATCCATGAGGTGAAAAGCTCTACTTCATGGTTTGCAAAATGGTTCTCTGTTAGGAATACCTGGCTAATTGATTTAGAGCATCCTGAGAGGAACTTGTTATTGGGTGCCATGGAAAGAGCTTTCTGGTGGAGAACTCGATTTTCTGACACCAAGTTGGTAAGTTTCTCTTTGAGCCTAATTACAAAAGAATAGGCATTCCGTTAAATGATAACAATTCACATAAAATGGATGTCATCTTAGTAGGTGGCATTATGAATTACGTTTATTTGAGGTATGTCATCACATGTAATATTGAATCAAGGATGCATCAGTTCCAGATGCGGACAAATGATATCATTAGAAGAAAATCTCGGTAAACTAAATAATCCTGCTTAAATATGCAATATCATTTTTTTACAGATTTGGCAAACTCTTGGTAATATTTGAAGTTATTAATGTGCACAGATAAATTGGACCTTCTATATGAAATAAAGGATAATCCCAAAATTAGAAATTAAAATTGGATGTCAAAACTTATTTCATATCTACCTTGCTCCTAATGTATTATTTTCCCTGAATAAAATTTTGTTTTATACTTGACATTAGCTTTGCTTCTTGTCCTTTATTGACGGGCCCATTGTTTTATTTGTTTATGGGCCTAATTCATTAAGTTGTTATGCTCCCTTTTTATTTGGGCCCTTAGATCTTTCTTATTGGGCCTATGGGCCTCTTGTATGTTATTTCTTTTAATGCTTTATGTTGCTGACACATTTTGAGGGGCATATGTGTAATTTAACATTTAGTTACCAAAGAATATAAGTACCAGTGGGGATCTCATTAGACTTGACAGTGCTCCTCTTCTATTGATTTCAACTTCTTCTACCCTTCTTCCCCCTTGCTGTTCTAATCCTATATTGCTTATTTGTCTTTACATATTATTTTTTATTTGATTTTATTTGCCAAAACCAACTGGTTAGTATTACAGCACCCTTTCTTTAGCACTCGTAAATGATTCTTATGCAATCTTTGGACCCGGTGACTGCACAATGAATTAAAATGTATTGGTCGAACCCTTATTTGAGTCCTAGTTGTTGGAGTTTTTGGTGTGTTGGTGCTGCCCTCGATCTTCTATTAGGCAGAGTCCATTCATTCATCATGATCATATTGCTTCTTCAAAGTATGTAGATTGAATAATGCTTTGGCATATTCAACTAGGTCATTTGTCTTTTGCTTCTTTGAGGTCATTCTTTCCTTAATTATTTTAGTTTGTTTCTATGTCTAGTCTTAAGTGTGAAAGTTGTCAACTATCCAACCATTATAGAAACACTTATATTTCAAGAAATAACAGAGGCAATTCTCCTTTTGATCTTGTTCATATTGATGTGTGGGAACCATACCATGTTATTTGAATAGGTGGATACCATTATTTCTTGCTTTTTGTGGATGATTTTTCTCACTCTTGGACATACTTGATGTGTACCAAGGATAATGTTCCTCATTTGGTACAACAATTCATCAAAATGGTCTTTACCTAATTTGGTATTAGGGTCAAGGTGTTCTAATTTGACAATACTAAAGAGTATTTTGAAAAGAAAAACAATCCTCCTTAATTGAATTCTTATGACATTTTCTATTAGAGTTATTATGCCTACACTCCACAGAAAATGGAATTGTAGAGCACAAGAACAAACATATTCTTGAGGTTTCTAGGGAAAATTATACTTGGCCATCATCTTCCTCTTCGTTTTTGGGATGATTTTGTCCATACTACTATCTGTGTTATTAATAGAGTTCCTTCTCATGTTCTTCATTTTGAAACTCCGTTTAGCATTCTCCATTCTAGGGATGATGTGTTTCCATTCCACTTTGTGTCTTTGGTTGCAGTTATTGTCAGAGACAGATCTGAAGCAGTAACAGAGAGAAAGGATAGCAGATTTGTGGGAGTGTCAAAAGTGGGACTCGACATCCAAGGAAGAGATATTTATATAATAAAACGGAAAAGCACCAAGTTGTAATTATTATACAAAATAGTAGTATACATAAGAAACTAGAGTACAACAAATGTAAAAATACAAAAATAGCCTTCTCGGCTAACTCCAACTCTTTTTATCTCTACACTCCCCCTCAAACTAATGCATTGGAATAAGCATAAGTTTGTCCATGAGAAATAAATGTTGTACACGAGTCATTGCCTTCGCCAATAGATCAACAAGTTGGAGGCCAAAGGACATGTGGGGAAGAGAAATAGTGCCATGGAATCTTTTAAAGGCATGGAGAAGATCGCGAATGAAGTGGCAATCAACTTTGATGTGCTTTGTGGCTCATGGAAGATAGGGTTGGATGCGATTTTGATTGCACTGACATTATCTGCAAAGAGGGGAACAGAAGGTGGTGGCTCATGTAGAAGAGCATGAAGCCATGTAATTTCACTACATACTGATGACATAGCTCGGTATTCAGCTTCAGTGAAAGACTTTGATATTGTGGGTCGTTTCTTACATTTTCAGGAAATGAGAGAGTTGCCCAAGAAGACATACCGGCCCATAGTGGATCGTCGAGTGTCTGGGAAACTAGCCCAATCAACATTTTCATAGGAGAAGAACATGCCGTGAGATAAAGCTCCCGCAAATATCTAATGATTTGGTGAACTACAGACAAATGTGGTTGTCACGGAGACGACACAAACTGGCTCACAATTTGGACTGCATAAGATATGTTTGGCAGATTCATAGTGAGATATATTAGACTACCCACCAACTGTCGATAGAGAGTAGGATCCTCAAGAGGAGAACCATTATCCTTACTGAGTTTCAGATTAATCTCCAAGGGAGTATCAACAGTCTTGGAGTCACTGAGGTTAGCCATTCTAACAAGGTCCATTGCATATTTATGTTGGTTAACAAAATAACCATGGGAATTACGATTTACCCCTAGTCCCAAAAAGTAGGTTAAGGGACCCAAATCCTTCATCTTAAAGGATTCACTAAGAAGTCATTTCAAATCAGCCACTCCTAAATCATTTCCTATAATGATTATATCATCAACATAGAGGAAAAGAATTATCATACCTTGATTTCGATGTAGGGTAAAAAGAGAATAATCTAAGGAGCTTTGGACAAATCTAGTATCAATGATGACAAATTGGAATCTTTTAAACTAGGCCCTAGGTGCTTGTTTTAGGTCATACAAAGACTTCTTGAGACGACAAATAAGATGTGGGTCTCTACAATATCCAGGAGGAGGTTTCATGTAAACAATTTCCTTCAATTCCCCATGTAGGAATGCATTTTTCACATCCATTTGATGAATTGTTTAGTTTTTAGCTATAAAGATGGATAGAAGTTTGACGATAGTCATTTTGCTATAGGAGCAAAGGTCTCCTCATAATCTATCCCATACTCCCGTTTATAGCCCTAAGCAACAAGTCTAGCCTTGTACCTATCTAGATTCCCATTTGAGTTCAACTTCACAAAGTAAACCCAGCGGCTACCAATGAGAAAGGCTTCAGGAGGAGCTTCAACTAGATCCTAGGTGTCATTCTCAAGAAGGGCTTGAATCTCAAACCATGGCATCTTTCTAATGTGGAACTCCTACATCCTGTTGATAAGTCTTTGGGATATCTGTGGTGGATAAAATAGCAGAAAAGGAGCTATTATATGGGGAATAACCATAGCGGTCAGGAGGATGAGAAATTCTAGTAGAACGATGCTAAGTGGGTGCAGTGGGTTTAGGTGGAGGGTCAGATGAACTTACTTGAATAGTTGGAGTAACCAGATCAGCATCTAGTGGTGGAGAGGAAAGGAGGATAGGTGCTGATGTAGATCGTTATTTTCTGAAGTAAGTCTGGAGTTGCTGCAAGGGTGATGTCGATGGAAATGTCGCTTACCAAAATATAGGACATATGTCGGAAGTGTCAGAAATGTCGAGGGGAAATATTGTAAAAATTAGAGACATTGTGGAAATATTATAAAATATGTGGAAATATGCAATGATATTTTGTAAAATGATAAAAGAAGCATTAATACATATTTCTAGACTATTATCTTGTTCCCAACCATTATATAAAGCTAAGAAACTAAGATCAATAACAAATTAGTAAATGACGATTTACTGATTTATTATGCATTTTGATGTTTTTACAAGGCTATCCGATATTTTATTTTCTTATTTTTAATTCTGATTTATTATAAATTGTAATATATTTATTTCACACTAGTAAATAGAAATACATTTATTCTGATTTTTTAAATATTAAAGTTATAATGCATTATGTTTTATTTATAAATTTAATAAACTGATTCTCCTTTTGGTAGTATTAAGGTTATGATATATTCTGATTTCTTATAGAACTTAATGAATTTATTATGATTTTTAATACTAAATTATAATAATCGTGATTTAGTGTAAAATTTAATAAATTTATTCTGATTTTTTTATATTAAATGTAGAATATGATTTGTTATAAAATTTAATAAACATTTTCTGATTTTAATAAATATTTTAAAAATAATAACTAGTTAATATTTTATTACTTGAAAAAATATTTTATGTTTTATATTATAAAGTAATTAATYTATTCTTTTGTTTTTATWTTTTGTTAATTCTTTTTTATAAATATTTTATTTGAAATATTAAATAGAAATTATTAATGGAATAATTTATATTAGTATACTGCATTATATTAATATAATGTACTAATATATTATATTATTAATGTATATTAGTCGACATCCCGTTGACATAATAGGAAAAACTATCTTTATTTTTGTTATTTGGATCGATTTGGTCGGCATTTCCGAAATATAGGAAATGTTGACCGAAATAATGTTATTTTTATATTTCCATCCATTTTCATGTTGGTGAGCCTTGACATCGACATATGTCGGGAAACATTAGCGAAATGTCGCGACATTTGAAACCATGGATGTACTTGAGGAATCTGTAGAAACAAAGTTGTGAAATAAAGAGATAGAAGGGGCAGGAAGTTTAATAATATGCTCAAAGAACGATGCATGCTCAAGAAAGATAACTTTATGAGAAATCCGAATGTGGCAAGCTTCTGGATCATAACAAATAAATCCCTTATGATCAGGGCTGTAACCCACAAAAGCATACAAAGCTGCCTGTATAGTTAGCTTGGCGCATTCATGGGGTGGAAGATGAACAAAACAAACACAACCAAAAACAAGTATTGA